AAATTTAAATTTTTTTCCAAAGCTGCTTTACCCAAAGCGGTAAGAGCCGTTCCAAACAAGGACTACAGAATTCGTTTGGATAGCTTTCTTCCGTCCTTAAAAAGCAGCAAAAATCACTAATAAATAATGGAATTTTTTTTAATAATTCCCATCCTATCCAGGCTATAACATGTAGCATCTAATACACAGGAGTCACATATGCTCTGCTCCTCCATTGTCTTAATATAATTAATAATTCATTCGATATTATGTAATACCAATCATGCTAACAAACTTGAAGCGTAATGTTGATTTTTGGCATATAAATAATGAGCTGAACAAAGTATTCTCGTCAATAATAAGAAGAAAGCAGAAGTCTAAAGAAGGTTTTGATGGTAAGTATTAGCTATTTTAAGCTTAGCGATTAATAAAGTCTTGAGATGCTTTCCGTTTTGCCGAATAATCTATCTTCGTTATGATTAATATAACTCATCGTTTGAGGTGCTTTTGTGCTTCTAAAGCAATTTTTATAAACAAAATTTTTTAACTGCAGAAAAACTGCCTTTAGAAAATAATACAAAAACTATTCAAACGAAGCCCGACATTTTCTTAATTATTTTTTTTAAAAATTTTTAGTAAAAAATTCTAAATTCAAAAAAATTTGTAATAAAACACTATTTTAGAAGTATTAAAAAGCTGCCTCAAACAAATTCTAAAAAAGCTACCCCAAACATATCTTAAAATCTCTTATAAATATTGAATCAGCATTTGTTTCAAATGATTGAAATATGTTATGTAAATGAAGCTATTTGTTGATAATGATCGAGAAGCAGATTGCTCTACTGTTGGCTTTGCTTCTGTGCAGCCCATTTCTTTGCTTTGCTTCAAGGAAACACGAAAGCCTTTCTGCTAGCTTTATGCGAGTTTAAAAAAAAAATTTATTTGTTACATATAAGTTAAAAGAAGAATTAAATCAATTTTCTAAAAAAATTAATAATAATTTATAGAGTGAGATTTTTTTTAGACAAAGTCAGCTTGTATCTGCTCACAATAGTTTTAAAAGATAATAATTATAAAAATATTTATTACATAAACTATTAGTTTAATTTTTAAGAACAAAAAATCCCCAATTTGTCTAGCTAGTTGATATAATGTATTGCCTTTACAAAATGTGTTATAATTATTTAGGTTAATTTGGAATAGCTTTCTTTGTAGTCTATAACGTGTGTAGCTGTAAAAATAATTTGTTAAAATTGTTGTATGAAATAATTTTTAATTTTTTTACATATAAAAAAAATAGATGTCAATAAATTATGATTGTGAAATAAAAAATAGTAAGAGGTTGTGTGACAACACCCTGATCTCATAATACTGCGTTTTCTTTAATCTATCAAATTATGTAATAAATTTTATATTTATTGAAGCAGAAAATATTAAAAAAATGATCTAAAAGTGAAGAAAAGCACTAAATTGGATATATATATATATATAATTCAACCAAAACATTTCAGACTCAGAAGAATAATACATTATTTTTAAATATTAATATTTCAACTATTTAAATTAATTGTCATTATTACTAATGAATTATTAATCTCATTGATATGACAATAGCAATTTTGGATAATGTGCTGTCTTAGAACAAGTCAATTTTGGTTAAAAAAAATCAATAAAACTTTTTTTGTCAGACGTCAGAGGTTTTATTTAAGCGACATAATTTATAATTTATTGCTCACCAATAAAAAAAAAAAGATAATTTTCGATACAATACCTAAAATTTGATTATTTGCACAACTACCACACACTTTATTAACTCCTTTTATAATAATATCGCTAAATCTAAAAAATAACAATAAAATCATATATTTTTCCTTATACTAAATTCGGAATGATTTGATCGCATCATGCATAAAGAGATGGACTTGTTAACTTATTTCTCATGTGTTAAATTTTGTTTAAAAAAAAATCAAATTTTGAGAATTGTGTAAATAATTTTTTTATTAGGATTATTATGTACATGTATATTTTATTTTTTTATAATTACACATATACACATAGTGTTCCCATGCACCGAGAGTTTTGGAGGCTTTGCAGCTATTGCTAATCCCAACGCAGCCAGCATCATAAAAATGAGAAATTATTGTGTACGCAATCCGAACGTGTTCGGATGTGCGTACACACTGTTTATTTTGTTGCGTATTTTTTGATATATAATTTTTTCTACATATTTTTTGCATATTTTTTGTGTATTTAGTGAGTATTATTTATTTGTTACTTATTTTGCTACGAAAAAATTATGTATCAAAAAATACGCAATAAAATAAACAGTGTGTACGCACATCCGAACACGTTCGGATTAGTACACAATAATTTCTCCATAAAAATAGACTATGCAGAGTAAGTTCAAAACTAGTCATGTATTTATTCACTTAACCTCAAAATGTTCTTATAATTGCAAAATAATTGTTTATTATTTATTCAGCTTAACTCTGATTTGTTGATTATTTATGTGCCAAAAGCTAACCAAATTATGTTTGAAAAATCAAACGTGAACACGTGGCCATTACATGTTGCATTTTTTGTTGGATTATAGTATTTAATAAATTTCAAACTAATTTATCTCATTTATTTAAAAAATATCTTAATTATTTAGATTTCTTACTCTTAATATTTTGTGCTTACAATTTATTAATTTATTTATTTTGGACATAATTGGATATTTAGATTTTCCTTGCGTATGAAGAGAAAGACGTTGCGTCCTCCAACCTGACGTAGAGATATATACGTCCTCCCAGAGCTAAAATCGCGCTAAAAACGAGAAATACCGAGCAAATACCGAGCAATACCAAACAATAACGAGGAATATCATCATGTGAAGACCAATACCGAGTTATACCGAGCTATACCGAGCAATACCGAGCAATACAAAAAAATACCTAGTTTTTCCTAGAAAAAACTTGGTATTTTTTTGTATTGCTCGGTATTTTTTTGTATTGCTCGGTATTGCTCGGTATAGCTCGGTATAACTCGGTATTGGTCTTCACATGATGATATTCCTCGTTATTATCAAATAATACGTAGCAATACCGAGCAAAAACCGAGTTTTTTGACGGTGGGAGGACGTATCTCTATGCCAGGTGGGAGGACGCAATAAAAATTCCCTTTCGAGGCTCGTAGTTCTGCTGAGGTGGTCCGTGTTTGATGCTCTTCTTCCCAAAAAATAAATTTGAATTAAAATATTATTGATTTTTCTTTTTTGTTAAAGTCTTGTCAGGCTTGCTTTATGAAGAGATTTTGTTGGGAGGTGTAGAACTAGTGATGCTATTGCTTATCAAAAATTGTATTATAAAGTTGCTTATGAAGTAGTTTGAAAGCTGTCTCAGACAGCCAAAATTTTTTTATCAAATTATGTAAATATAAGTTTAGCAGAAATAAAAAAATATTATAAATTAAAAGTTAGAAAAGTAAAAAATAAAGAAAACTAGCCGAAATGGTCGACTTGTTCTTATCAATTTTATATTCCTTCTAATATATAAATTATTTTTTATGTTTCTCATTTGTTGACTTAATTTGCTGTCACGGAATAAATGGATAAATAATCCAAAGAACGAAGACTCGCCCATCAATAAATACTTAAAGAATGTAGAGTCAGAATAGAGATGTACGACTAAGGACCGTAAGAATAAAATATATGAGTGTTATATTTGATACTAAAATTTTATATGAGAGTTAAGAATATAATATTAAAATTTTATGAATTAATATGTAAAGAACACAAAATAAAATGTTATGTATGTAAATTCACTAAAATAAATTGGGAAAGAAAATAATGTAAAATCTGTGACATAATTATGTTAGCATGGTCACATCACATGCGCTCCTTAGTTACCACCCATACTATAAACTTTAATATTTTTTTCATGAATTAATATTTGTTCTATGAATTCTAGACATGTAATATTAAAATTTTTTATATTATATATTTATATATGTAAATAGCATGAAATAAAGTAGTATTTATGTAAATCCATCTTTATTTTAATTATCTTATTTTTGTTATAAATAATTTAATATATATATTATAAATTATATATATTTATAAATATTATATATATATATATATTATATATATATTTATTATAATTTTTATATATAATATAACACATTCGAAAAATTTAATAAATGAAAAGGCTATAAATATCTAATATGGGTCGTGATTTCCATCAAATTTAGAATTCATTTGAAACGGTTATAATTTTATAAAGATGATTAATAATTATTATATAATCATATATTTTTTTATATTTTGATAGAAAATGTTTTTTAACACAAAATTTTATAAAAGGGACAAAAATAATGGTCATGGTTGAAATTTGAATAGCAAAGTAATAAGAAAGCTATTACATGAAACCTTCACGAATTATGGGTTTTATTGGGCGACTTCAGCTTTTTATAAACTTGTGGGAATAATTTTGTTTAAACTGTTGTAAAAAGCAGCATTTCAGAATAGAAATTCTTAAAAAATGAGAAAATAATAGCTAAATAGAACTTTAATTACACTCTGAAAAATAAAACAGTAAGAAAATTATAACCAAAATATATATATAATGAGCCGTGAAATTTTTGTTTATGTATAGTCATAGAATTGTCAAATTATTTGTAATTAATTTTATGCTCTATTACTAATTAATAATATATTTATAAAAATTATTTTAAATTATCATAGCATTCATATATTAAAAAAATGAATCAAATAATTCAAATTTATATAAGGCATGATTGACTAATCCTTAGATTTAAATATTTTATGTTACATATCAAAATTGTATAATTTAAAAAGAAAGTCTTCTAGTTCAACCAAGGATTAGTCACGCTCAATCAAGTTCAAATCAGGAGGTTTCTGGGGTGAGTGTCTCTTCTAGGTAAGCTCAAGATTAGTCACGTCGCCAATCGCACGATCAGGAGTGACAGCGGAAAAAGTTTTCAAGGGGTGTTTGAATTTTTTTCAAAAAAATATTATACAATCTTATCAAGTTTACTATATGAAGAAAGAAATAATCACACAAAACATTTTACAATGTTACCAAATTCAAATACCAAATGTCCATTTCTCCTTTTCTGCTGCTGCTTCTTTTTGCTTCTCCTTCACAAAATCAGCTTCGCCTGTCAAAACACAGAAAGAGAAGCTCTTCTCCGCTTCAAATCCACCCTCCATGACCCCACTTGCCGCCTCTGTTCATGGCAAGGCGACAACTGCTGTCAATGGCGCCACATCACATGCCGCCAAGGCATCTCCGGCGACGTCATCTCCCTTAACCTTCGAAATCCTAAATCCTCCTACGACCTGCCGTTAGACTGGAAGCAATCGGCTTTAAGTGGTGAGATATCTCCTTCTCTTCTGTCTTTAACCCAACTTCAGCATCTTGACCTTAGCTTGAACTATTTCAATGGAACCCCGATGCCCAATTTTTTGGGTTCCTTGAAGAATCTGATGTATCTTAATCTATCAAATGCGGGTTTTTCTGGGGTGATCCCTCATCAGCTCGGGAATCTCGATAGACTTATGGTTCTTGATTTGAGTGCTTTGTATGGTCAGCAATGGCTACGTGCGGATGATTTAGGGTGGCTTTCTGGGTTATCTTCGTTGAAGTATCTTGATCTCTCTGCGGCGAATCTTACATCGGTTAAGAACTGGATGGAGGCGATTGTTTTGATGCCATCGATTGAAGAGGTTCGTTTATTGGAGTGTCTTTTGGTTGAGATCCCGGGCCATGTTCATAATCTCAATACGTCCTCTCTTTCTGTTCTTGAAATTGATTATAATTCATTTGATTCCATCCTTCCGCCATGGTTCTGGGCGCTTGGTGGTCTTACATATTTGAGTTGTATTGGGTGTGGATTTTATGGATCCATGATTGATAGTATCCTCATGAGTGTAAAGCTTGTTGATGAAGGTGGTAAAACTTCTAGATTTTCCTCGGATCTGTTAGTAAGAACAAATCTGTGTTATTTGATCTATATGGATCTTTCACATAATTCTATAGAAGGAGATATTGCGGAGTTTTTCAATATTATGACTGGTTGTAAATTAGGAAGTAGTTTGCAGACACTGAGACTTGGAACCAATAGAATGAATGGCACACTATCTGAAATGGTTGGAAATATGACTGATTTAGGCTATTTGGATCTCAGCAATAACTTTCTTTCTGGGCAAATGCCTAAAGAGATCGGAGAGCTTAAACATTTGCAAACGCTTGATCTTAGCAACAATTCGATCATGGGCCACCTCCCTGTGGAAATTGGCGAGCTCTTAAATTTGAGGTTTTTGGATATTTCTTCCAATCTTTTTGCCGGCGAAATAACTGAAAGGCATTTTGAAAAGATGGATCAACTTCAAGAACTGTTTTTGTTTAACAATCATTTGATCATGACTGTAAATGATGCATGGATTCCTCGTTTCCAACTCTCATATGTTGGGTTGAACTCTTGCAAGCTGGGTCCAAAGTTTCCCTCATGGCTCCAATGGCAGGAAAATGTTTCCTTGTTAGTTTTGTCGAACACATCAATAGCAGATATTTTGCCTGCTTGGTTTTGGAAACTTTCTTCCAATATCATTACTTTGGATCTATCTCACAACCGTTTAACTGGAAGGTTGCTGCAATCGTTGGAATTCATGAGCAAATTGAGTACCTTGGATTTGAGTTATAACAAATTCACTGGTAAAATACCATCAATTTTACCAACTAGATTGCAAAGGTTGCATCTTTCCTATAACTTGTTATCCGGAACCTTGCCATCCAAATTCCAAGCAAGCTCATTGGCGTTCTTGTTGCTTTCAAATAATAAGTTTCATGGAAGCTTTCCGACTACCATATGTAATTTAGTATCTTTAAAGGTCCTTGATTTATCCAACAATAACCTTTCAGACAGTTTACCTGATTGTTGGAGAACCGATTCACAGCTCCAAATTTTGAACTTAGGAAGCAATCAACTTTCTGGTGTTCTTCCTCCTTCAATTGGTTCTCTAAGCCAACTAATGTCCTTTCATGTGAATAATAACTATCTATCAGGGGAGCTTCCCCAATCATTGCAACAATGCAGTGCCTTAGAGGTCCTTGACATTGGTCAAAACAACTTCGCAGGGATCATACCGGACTGGCTGGCCGAACGCCTCCCACGTCTGATGATCCTTCGCTTGCGATCTAACATGTTTAGCGGCGGCATTCCAGAATTCGCAAAGCTTGATTGTCTTCAAATCTTAGATCTTGCTTACAACAAACTTGCAGGGTCCATACCTTCCACCTTTGGTAATTTCAGCTTGATGATTACAGCTGATATAGAGGGACTTAGATGTGTATTTGGATATAATGGGAACGACTATGCTATGCCTTTCTTTGGAACTGATGTGTATGCATTAAGTTATATTGAAACTATATCCATTGTCACAAAGAGGGTTGATCGTGAGTATTCTAAGATCCTCTCCCTCCTAAGGAGCATCGACATGTCAAGCAACGATCTTAGCGGAGATATCCCTGAAGAGATAACAGCTCTTGCTGCCCTGCAAAATCTGAATCTTTCAAGCAATCATTTAACAGGGGTGATACCAGAGAAAATAGGAAATATGCAATCGTTGGAATCTCTAGACCTATCTATGAACAATATATCTGGTACCATTCCTCAGTCTATCTCATCTCTGACTTCTATGAGCAGTCTTAACTTATCATATAACAATCTTTCTGGCGAAATTCCCTCGGGAAATCAGCTCCAAACCTTAGATGATCCATCCATATATACAGGTAATGCCAATCTATGTGGGCTGCCAGTTTCCAAAGATTGTTCTTCAAGAAATAGTTTCAGTGGGAAATCTTCAGGAGCTGATGAAGAATCGATTGAAGATGATCATCAGCATTTTTGGGTTTACTTCAGCTCAGTTCTGGGATTTGTGATTGGAGCTTGGGCTGTATTTGGTATCCTTTTTTATAAGACTTCTTGGAGAATAGCTTATTTCAAGTTCTCTGAGGATATATGTGATCGAATCTTCTTGGTTGTTACTGGTAATAGTTTTGACGGCAGCTGAATCCTACAAGGGATGAAGAGGATTGCAGCTTGGGCTTTAAGCGGTTTCTTTAGGGATCTTTTTTCTTCATTTTGTTAGTTCTGTATGGAATCTGATTGTGCCGATCAACTGGGTTGTACTGTTGACTTAGAACTAAATTCCGTCGATCGAGCTCGCTTTAAGGGCCTCCCCTGCTTGGGTTTAAGGGCCTTGCCCGTAGAAAAAATCTTTTCGGTGCAGCCATACAACGATGCGGCATTTGTATATTCGAGCACTGTGGTGTTGCCAATCAGGCTGGAGACAAAAGGTGTAGTGCCACAACTCCAGTTAGGCTGGGTAGTTTTCTTTCTCATTTTTCATGCTTAACTTAAAGAGATGCATCCCTTGGTGTTGTATATGTGCGTCGCTTTGTCTATTTTGAATAGAGAACGAAGTCTTAAGTGAAGTGAGGGAAGGAGAGAGTGAGAGAGAAAAAGATATGTATAATTTCTCCTAATTTCATAGTTAATTTCTACGCGTGGTATGGTTCCGCAGTTTTTTTCCAATTTCGGAATTTTCCACATTAAATCCTAATGTTCATTTCCGCTTCTTTCTTTTTCTTGTTGTTTCATTGCGTGATCTTACTTCCCAAAACATTTTGTATAGGAAGGGCAGATTTTGAAGTCAGTTGATTGCCAATTTCATTCTCCTACCTGAAATAGAACAGGACCGGCAAGTTCTGGAAGAAAAAACTCTCTTGGTCTTCAGCATCCTGGTTAGATCATGGTGCTATGTTTGTTAGTTGGGTTGAAAGATCAGGGAAATTATTAGAATCTAGCTGCATACGTAGCTCTTCGTGCAGACTACAAATTACGTACGTAGCTCTATGTATAAACTATTGAAGTACACAATTATATACTCGTAAATAGAATACACAGTTATTTACTCGATTGATTAAATACAAAGCTTGCGTTTATATAATTAACACGTAAAATTACATACATAATTAACATTTAATAATTTCTCAAGAGGTCAAGAGGCTACAGCAGAAGCTGCATCTAGGAAAATGAAGATATTTTAGAGCCAGGAAAAATATTTTGCGGAGTATCTTGGGAAGTGAGCACCAAGTATGTTGAGTTGAATGTACAACAAAGACCCACCGAGGTTTAGGATGGCTGGTGGGCGAGCACGGTATGGAACCCCCATCTCGGGTTCGAATCCTCTCTACTACGGTCTCGCATCTTCAGTGGGGCAAAGCAAGTGTGGCTCTGATACCGGTGGGTTGCCTCGCTAGGTTCCGTCGAGGGATTAGTTACGACGTCAAGCGTTCCCTTTGAAGTGACAAGGGGTAGATACCCTCGTTCCCAAAACCTAGCGACACCAAGCACCAATTTGATATGCTTCTTGAATTAAGAAGGATATGACACCTTTTGAGTAGGGGGAGACTACTAAGAAAAGAAGAAGAGGGAGGGGGGGAAATAAAATTTCATTTCTATAACTTCAATTATAGTAATTGGTTTTATTTATAGGCAAGTATAAGTGAAAAGAAAGAGGGCCTGACTGTCTAAAATACTAATAAACTAGTTTACAAAAATAATCCTGAGGTTATAGGGTTTTTTTCAATAAAATCATGAATTGGTCAATCTTTGTTCTAACGAGGTTCGATCAAGAACCTTCTGTTACAGTCAAACTTTAAACAATTTTAATCCTTTGGAGTTGGAAAAGAATAATTGATGATCAAAATGATAAATATGACATCATAAAATAGAATCAATCACTAATATAGCATGAAATTATATTCAATAAATCTAACTTTATAACATGTAAACATAAAATAGAATCAATTATTAACATTTAATTAGCACTTTGTACATCATTACAAATTCAAAAGCTAGTATTTCGTATCAAATACAATTACATTAAGCAGTGTTACAATTATGACAACATAATACTGATAGTCTACACAAAGTTATCGTGAGCCTTCTCAAACTAATAAATGCACTCATTACCTCTTCTCTTCCAACACTAAGAGTTTAAGGAATGATAACAAGATGAAAGGAGAAGCTTAAGGTCAAAAAGAAGTTCAAATCATCTTCTTTGATCTTTCAAATCATATATAAATATTTGAAGTATCAACATTCCATCAAACCAAGCAGAAAAACCATTGCAACTTACTGGAACATCATGATTTCACAGAAGTATGATTCATTTGAAGAATTCAGACATCAAGCTGTAATTTAGATTAAAAAAACAATTGAGAGGAGGATTGTTAACTTAAAACTACGATATTCAACTCATGACATCAAGGCATAAATTGCTGAAATTTCATATCATTTCTCAACATTCCTTTCATCCAAGGAAGAAATTATTTTGTGCGGTCACCGGACGGCGTCCAGAAGCGAATCAGGTAGCACCGTGTCATTTTTTACTGTGTACCGGTGTTGTGTAGTGTTGTGTACCGGATGACGTTGTGCATTCTGATTCGCCTCTAGGCTGATTTGCCTCTGGGCCGACCGCACAGAGTAATTTCTCCATCCAAGCAGACAGCTAACATGGAATAGCTGTTTTGTTAGCTAAAATTGTCACATCAACATTCAAAAACATGAGAAATGACCATGGTCACAGAGGGATAGAACAAAACTTGTCAGAAACATAAAGATGAGATGCAGGACCTCAATGAGTATGGGGATAATTAGTTGATTGTCAATGGAGAAAATGAATGTCGAAAGATGAACGATCAACATCAACCTCAAGAAACAATGCCTGCCTCCAGAAAAAGAATGTTTTTAGATTGTTTAGGGAAGAGGACATAGTTTGCCAATTTCTTTGAAAATATGAAATCCAAAACTTTCAACATTGCTCATGTGCAGAATCTATCAGTCATCCATGAGTAGGCTTTTAAAGCACATAAGATGAGATTCCTCACTCATACTATATTACATTACAAGCAATTGGCTTATGACATCCAAAACATTCAACTCCTCATCAAAATCTGCTTAGGTTGAAGTGGTTTCCACATCCAGATCTACCTAGCAATTGCTTGATGGAAGTTACAAGTATCAACATTCAGATACCTTTATCCATTTCAAGGGTTAAAAACTCACTGAACATCATAGAGCATGAGAAAAAAAATTGTGAACAAGGGATAAGAGAATAATCAGCTTTATGGCCCTATGAAGACCAAGAACGGCATCAAAACCCAAGAGGAACACAACCACAAACACGATTCTCACTCGGGGACGGATTAAGGGATGCAGCCTTTATGCCATTGCATCGCAAAGAGATTGTTTTCATTACTAAAATCCATGATTTCAATATCACAATGAAAAATAAGCTAACCAATACTATTGGCCTGCATCATAAGTAATATGTAAGAAATGGATAAAGATCTAATAACTGCAAAATTTGAATAGTTATGTGAAGCCCCAACAATGTGCCAAAAAGGTTTTAGTACAATAAATTAATTTGGATTAGTCATGCAATCAAATCACAATTTGTATTAATTCATCATGTTTAGAATGTAACTAGGAGTTGGATCTCAAGACTGCAAAATATAGTTATTCATGTGGCTGTTAACCATGTTTGGGGGTCAAATTAGGATCTGAAATGTAATCCTTCACAATAAATGTAATCCTTCACAATGGCTTAAGAGGTATTATGCATCACAAAGACAGCTTCCTTCACATTCAATGGTCATGCAAGATGTAGTATTGATATGTCATCAAAAAATTATCTTGATCGGACACAAATCTTGAGGCAAAAATCCAAGTTAGAAACTTCAAAAATTAAATTTGGGATCATCTAAACTCCGATTTCAGCAAACTTACAGCCGAACTGATCGTCTCAGAAATACAAACCCAACGACACCAAATTCAACTCAATCCGAGCCCAAATGGGTCTGAATCGAAGAACCAAAGCGTTGTTGGAAGGTTCAAACCAACAATTTGGAATACCAAACAATTTCAAAACATGATATGCTTATAGTCGAATCGAGCGGCTCGACGAGACGAATCCAACGACCCCAAGATCGCCGAATTTCGATATCACTAAGACCTTCAAATGTCTGACGAACGGTCCACAATCAAGGGATTCAATATCGGCTGTCCATCCAATCGACTCCACATTTTCCCTTGATCCTCCTCCTATTTACGGGTCATGCAACTCTCAGAAAACTATAAATAGCCCCTCATTTCTCTTAAGGGGGAAACAAGCAAGAAGGAAAAAAGAGGAGAAGAGCAGAAGAGGAGGGAAGAAACTCCTTCTCGACCACCGCCGGAGTTCCGCCCAACTTTCAAGTGACTTCGGAGTTCCGCCAGACTTTCAAGTGACTTTGGAGTTCCGCCCGACTTTCAAGTGACGTCGGAGTTCCACCCGACTTTCAAGTGCCGTCGAAGTTATGTCCGATCTCCAAGTGACTCTAGAGTTTTGCCCGAATAACATCTAGTCGGAGTTCTCCCCGGCCGCCGACTGACGTCGGACTTCTAACGACGCCAGACCTCCGCTCGACGCCAGATTTCTACCTGACGCCGGACTTCTGCCTGTTGTCGAATTTTCACCGAACATCTATCCGATGTTGGATTTATGCCCATTGCTGGACTTCCACCTGATGTCGTCCTTCTAACCTCCGTCGTCAGACAAATGTCATTTCGACTTCCGTCGCCCGCCGACTACAGTCCTTCCGACCATTGTCGCCCGCCAACTACGATCCTTCTGACTTAAGTCGCCCACCAACTATAGTCCTTCCGACCTTTGGTGCCCGCCGACTTCTGTCCTTCTAACTTACGTCGGCCACCGACTACAGTCCTTCCGACCTCCGTCGCCCGCCAACTACGGTACTTCCGACTTACGTCGCCCATCGACTACAGTAATTCCGACCAAACGAATATGTCAACAGTGACTCTTTGTATTCCCACCATATACTTCATATAATGTACATCAAGCCAAGGCCTTCCCTCTAAAGGAGGGCCTCATTTGTAATCGACTGCAAATAATAATGGATTCATTCAAACTGGACTAGGCCCTGTGGTTTTCCCCCTTTTTTAGGGTTTTCCACGTAAAAATCTTGGTGTCTCATAAATAATACACCCTCTCTCTTTATCTGTATGCGTGCTTGATCTTCGTACAATGCTAAGATGCTAAACTTTATTTTTCTTTACCGCCGCGAACACTCCAGGACGCAACAAGTATAAAGTCAAAACATACTAAAATAGCAATAAATGGATGAAAATCAAGTGTTCTATGATTAATATAATCAGTAAAAAAATGCCCCTAATTAATAGGAAATACATCAAAATTATCAAGTAACAGCCAAAAGTCTTCATGGGGAGGAAGAAATAGGCACACTCTCAAGAAACCTATAATGTTAGTCGGTAAAATATACAACTAAATAAAATTCATCATCAAAATATATCAAGGAAAGGCAGTCATTTTGATCTAATAAAACATCTGCACATAGCACATACAGAGCAAAATCAACTGAAACCAAGAGCTTTCGTTTTTCAATTACAATCTTATTTTATAATTAGATTTTCTTCATCTTTATAATTTCCAACAATTTCAACTATTCTGCCCTCTCCACACCAAGACCATACAACACACCAGCATATTTCTCAGTCGAACCGTTAAAATAAGACTCCCTAAGCTTCCTGAAAGCACAAGAAGTAAGAAGACTATCAGATCCAGCCTGATGACAAACTCCAAACCTCTGCACATCAATCAACTCAGCAAGTTTATTAAGCCCACCATGAAGACTATTACAAAACTTCATCAGATGCTTAATATCATATAGGGTCGGGAAATAAACTCTAAGAAGATTAAAAAATCCAGCTTGCGTCTCCGGCAAATTCTGGCAAGTAAGCACCTTTAAAAGATAGCCAAAATCATACCCACTATGAAATGTTACCCAGTTCACGTTCTCGTTAAGAACCACACCAGAAGACATAAGCAGCTCCGCAAATCGCTGCGCATCGATGCCAAGCTCGCTATTCTTGGCGAAATCGATGCCGCTTTCTCGAAGTAATTCAATGGAATCTGTTGCGTAAACGTCGCGCTGGATATTGAACTCGCGGAAATTGAACTGCCAGACGCAACCGAGGCCGGTATTGCAAGTGGGAAGGTTTCCGTCTTCGTCCGAAAAGGTGAGACCTAGCTGGATGAGTTTGAGCATGCCTACGTTGGCTTGTAGGGTTGCGTAGTGGTAGTCGGAGGTGTATTTGAACGATCCGATTGGGCGGCATACGACACCGGGGAACTCCGTGTCCATGGCGACGAAGGGGAAATCGTCGACGATGTCGCGGATTAGGGAGAATTCTTGTTCAAGGTTGTCAGCCCATACTTCACGGATCTGTATAGCATCGGTCTTCGGCATCACAGCCATGTCGGAATCATTCGGCGAAGGGATCTGAGAGTATTTAGGGTTGTTTGGGGACGAAAGAGAGAAGAAGATGAGAAAAGTTGCGATATTTTTTTTTTTTCGTTGAAAATGATTTCTTGGTTTTTATGGGTCAAAAGAGGCGGTTCCCAAAGTGGGCCACATCGATGTGAGGAGAGTGGAAGGGATTTTCGGCTCGGCTCCTCTGCCCCACTGCCCCTCCGCATATTTATATATTTTTATATAATTTTAATATTAAAATATAATATAAATAAATATAAATATTTAAATATTAGATATATTAATTATTTAAATATTATTAATAAAATATTTATGGTTGGTTGTTTCTATGGAGAGATTATTTTGTGCGTATAATTGATATAACTTTCTGTTTGAAGGCGAATCAAAGTGCGCTGTATCATCCGATACATAGTGGTATATAACTACGGTACACAGCAAGGAATTATCCACACAGAATAATTAATTGTTCCTATGGACCACTTTAGCATCATGATGATAGTTAAGTGAACTAAGTTTACACCAAGTCAAGAACATGAAGAGCAGGGTAGACAATTGCCCTTGAAATCTTTTTTTCCTTAAAAAAAAAGGTGTTTTAATTATTATGTTCAACTTTAATAATGCATGTCTAAATTTTAAGAATTTTTTTTAATGTTTCATATATATAATTATACATTTCATAAAATTATACATTTCATAATCCTATTATGTCCACCCTCAAAGAGGAACAATTATTATGTCCTCTGACCTGACGTAGCTCTACGTTCGGCCGCCAATAATATGTCGCCACGTGCTCTCATTCTTTACCGCGCGGCCCGACGATTTGACCCGGACTGGAACCCGGGATTGCTATGTTCACGTATTGCTAGGTATTACTTGGTATTTGCTCGGTATTACGAGGTATTGCTTGGCAATAACGAGAAATACCGCTCTGTGAAGACCAATACCGAGTTTTTCTAGAGAAATACCAAGCAATACTGAGTAGAAAAACTCGGTATTGCTCGGTATTTCTCGGTATTTGTCTTAACATAATGGTATTTCTCGTTATTGTCGAGCAAAATTGACCAATACCTAGCAATACCTAGCAATACCGGGTTGTCCTGGATTTAAAATACGCACGGGCGACATACCCACTATTCGCCGGGTTGGATCCGCGATTTTGTACCTGCTACGTGGCACGATCTCAATGGTGACCGCACGTAGAGCTACGTCCGGTCACAGGACCAAATAAAAGTTCCTCAAAGAGAGGTTTATTCCGCCCCTATGCCAAACTTTGTGAATCTTAAAATTTTTTTAAGGGGATTTCGGATGAATTCAATACCTAAGATATTTATCTTAAAATAAATTTAATATTTTTAAAATTCATCTTAATTGAATATTCGATCAAAATTTCTTCCTAATTATTTATTTTGCAATGTTTTTAGATGGAACCTTTGAAACTGGAATTATGAATGGAGATTGCAAAAGAAAATTATCAGTAAGTGACAATAATAATAGGTGGCCCAAAAATAGAGACTAATTTACTCTAATTCATATGTTGTTAAAAATAAATTTGATCACGCATGAATCTCATTGCATATTTGAATTATAAAATTTTAATTTTAAAATTAAATTAAAATTAAATTTAAGATTATCAAAACTCCAAATTTTAACAAGTTTATAATCAGATTCAATGCCTCAACAAGACAAATCCAACAACACGAGAAGTGATATGATCTAAGTTTGATGAGCCCAAATCAAACATTTAAAGCACACAAATTAGAAGACTAAACGGTCTCCAAACCTTTTGACAATTGTCATCTCATTATGGTCCTTTGACCACTATCACCCGACTACTATTCTCTAAGCACTATTGTTAAATTACAATATGTTAATCATCGTCATCCTACTATGGACATCTAACCACAGTCGTCTACTTACAGTCATCTGACTACTATCATTCAACCATAGTGCTCTTGAACACCATCACTAGAATATAACCCTCCAAAAACATCGCTCAACTAAGGTTCTCCGACCACAACCACCGTCTGAACCATCGCTCAACTAAGGTTATCCGACCGCCGTCGCACAATAATATTACTTCAACTAATGTGGCCAAATTACAATTGTTTGATTACTAATGCATGACTAAGATCCTCTTGACTATTTTCTTGCAAGTATGATCCTCCAATCAACATCGCCCTCACCATCAAACCATCATCACCCAACTATGATCCTTTAACCATCATGGTCTGAAGATTGTTCTTTAACCGTTATCGCTCGAGTACGATCCTCCAATCATCGTCACACTTCTAAGGCCCTATCACGTCCCAAGATTAGATTTTGGAAAAAAATTTCTTTTTTAATCTTTTCATTAACCAATAGTTTATATGAATCTATCGCATACTAAAATTTATGCGGCGGAAGTTTTATCAATAATAATAATAATATAAATTTGATCAAAAAAATCTCAAAAATATCAAATTATTGAAATGAGAAATACGATAATGATTTCTTATAATGAGACAAATAAATTTCCCAACATAATTGACTGATAAAAATTATTTTACGGCCTCCAAATCTTAGAATTTCCTTTCTCGTTTCTCTCAAATTTTCCTTACCTGCTCGAGTTGAGGAATGAATAATTTGAATAAAAAGCTTTTTAATGAAATATATAAGTGGGGTTTGATATTTAATAATATAATATTAATATAAAAAAAATATTCATAGAATAGTTCATTTTATTTAGAATATTTTAATAAAATCGATTTACAAAACAGACACTCACAGTCCCAAAATTCTCACTTATAGCGGGGGATGTTAATTTCTTAAGAATTTTGCATCGGTGCCCGAAAATTATGAAAAAATTATTATAATTAAAACATAATAATATATATTTTATGGGAAAGACTATTTTTCAATTTGACTTATAATGACTCCTTAAAAAAATTGTTTGGCTCGATTAAAATATTTGTATTAGAATCTCCTCTCCATAGAAAAATGTCGTCCTTGACATTTTTCGCTACAGATCACTGGTTGGTAGCCACATCTATCATTTATATTAATTATTAATCACATCACTTATCAATCAAATCAAATTATGTGTGTATGTCAATCATTCAATCACATGATTGCAATGCATTTCAATAAAAATAATGATCTTAGAATGAGAAATGATATTATTGGGCTTCTCTGGATTATCTCTCACTTCCTAATGACACAAACTATATACTCATGGTAGTACTAGAGGTTGTGTCATCACTGACATAGTGGGCTGCCTCTATCTCTCACCCACTTGTCTTCCCTCTGTCCCGCTCATAGAACCTTAACTAAATATTCTAAACTCTGCAAGTCTCTGGCCATATGTCTGTCTAGACTGATCTGTCATGGACCCAAATCTCTCCCCCAATCCTCTCTATGGATAGTCTATCATCTTGTATTCGTATTGATCACATATAAAGCACTATCTTGTAATCATATAATATTGTCATGTATGTCTCCTCCCACATCTAAGACACTTCTATACACTACCAAGTGGTACCATAGGTCCTCTTCTAACATCAGTGAATGTGCCTCTCTTCTCACTGCTCTCTCTTATAATCATTTCTTCACATGCTCTCCTCATACTCATGTCATGTCTGAACTGGATAATAGCCAAACTATTTTCTACAAGACGCACTCTCTCCACTAACTCCAAAAATTTCAGAATCCTCAGCGGTACAAGTGGATGCCTCAACTCATCTTTTAATCCTCTTAGAGATCGATAACATTTCTCCTCGATGATACTGACTAATTGATGTGTATACAAGGCCAATGCATTAAACTCTGCCTCATATTTCAACAATGTTCTATTCCTCTACTTAGTCTACTATGATCTAATGAAAGCCTCTTGCATCTATTGTCGGATTGATGGAGGAACAAACGAGTCTCTAAAGACAACAACAAACTCTACCCAGGTAATCCATGCATTTATCTTTTTTTGAAATTTCTCTCTATTGTCAAATCCACCATTGCTTAGCTTCTCCCTCAAATAAAAAATACTGTTAGTAGCACTTTTCTATTTTATGGACACTACATATTATCAAATACCTTCTTTATTCTCATTTATCAATATTTTGTTTAATGTGGCTTTATAGCTCCCTTAAACAACAGGGGCTTCAACTTGTGAAACATCTGTAAATATTTATCCTAATCAATCTCCTTGCTCATAGCATGCCTGCTCTATGCATCACTCATCAGTTGTGCTATCAGACTAATAAATTGCATCATGTTGTTAGAACTTACTAGGGCTATTGCATTGTGTTCATTTGGCAGTTTAAGTAGATCCATTGCACTCAGTATAATTCTATTTCCTATTAAATGATAATTATATCACACAATCATATATATGCATAGAATGAATGCAAAAAAAAATAAATTCAAATACCACCGCCATCGTCAAACCACAATCATTAGACCTCCAATGATTAACCATCGCCATCATCGGACCGCCGCCATCAGACCACCAACGCTCAATCATCATTATTGGATTAATGTTGCCTAATCAACAGTATTAAACTTGTAACTTAGTAACAGCCGTCCAAACTCCTTCCGTCCCATATATATTCTACGAAATTTTTTGTCAAATACAAATACTTATGTAATCGTGCCATATCCAAAATAATGGATGGTAAACCTTAATAATCAACACCCATAAAATAAAATCATTTCAACAAAACCAGGCTTTGAATTTTTCCTTTCCACTTAAAAAACCTAATGTCATCGTCTGCATTTCATTTATTTATTTATATATTAAGGCTTCGTTTGGGACGGCTTTCTTATTGCTTCTTAAAATAATTTTTTAGTACAAATTAAAAAAATTTATACCGAGAAGCTGCTTTAAGAAGCAATAAGAAAGTCGTCCCAAACGAAGCCTAAATCTTATAAAAAAAATGTTGCCTACTTGTGTGAGGCTTTATGACAATATTCGCATCGATTAAATTTTCAATATTAATAATATTAATGAAACATTAAATCATTAAAAAATTCACGAATGCAATCTTCTAATTTACTTAACTCATTTTCCAAGGCACAATGCACAAAAAATCTGCTCACTAAAGGCCAATGAACAAGCACAATTAAAGGGAGGTAGGCGGGGTGCGTGGGTAAGGAGAATTGCTAATCTACACAAAAAAACAAGCAGCGCAAGAAACCAAGAGCAACTATCTTAGTACTTAGTTTTATTTGGGACTTTGAAAAATAACTTTATAATATACAATTTTTTATTTTAAAAAAATTTATGCTAAAAAATTACTTTAAAAAATAATAAGAAAGCCGTTCCAAACGAACAATTATTACGTCCTCCGACCGGACGCAGAGGAACGTCCGGTCGGAGGCCAAATCCCGCCAAAAAACGAGTTGTACCGAGCAAATACCGAGCAATATCAAACAATAACGAGGAATATCATCATTTGAAGACCCAATACCGAGTTATACCGAGCTAAATCGAGAAATACCGAGTTATACAAAAGTTGTACCGAGTTTTTCTAGGAAAAACTCGGTACAACTCGGTATTTCTCGGTACAGCTCGGTATAACTCGGTATTGGTCTTCAAAGAGCGGTATTTCTCGTTAATATCAAATAATACCTAGTTGTGCCAAGCAAATACCGAGTTTTTTGGCGGGATTTTGACTCCAACCGGACGTTCCTCTACGTCCTTACACCGGACGTAATAAAAGTTCGTCCCAAACATAATATTAATGCTTCATATGAGAACAAACCAAGTTTAATGTCAACTAATTTTTTATTTAGTTGATAAGGGACCTTTGGCTTGCTTATGGAAAAAAAAAAGGTTATAAATTTGATGAAATTTAAAGTCTTTTAGAGAGCTTTCTAATTTTTTTTTTTCAAATAATAACTATAATTTTATTTAGCTATTACTTTCATACTACATAGGATCAACTACATGAATCATTTTTCTTCATTCTGTTTTATTAAGAGTCAATTTTCCATTTAAATCTAATAAAGAAATATCACTTATAATATTTTCTAACCAAATCTTTTTAAATCTGCATTTACATTTCTTAATATAAGTCAAATCTAATACATCTACTCTCCTAACTGAGTCATGAAAATACCGCCATTTATTCTCACTACTTTTCTTAAACTCTACAGGAGAATTTTATTATCGACAACCAAAATTATCAAATTGCTTCCCCCACAATCACTATAATCAACCCAAAATGTAAATAATAGGTGAATGTAGTTTAAAAAACAAAAACTAAAGATTTTAATTTATTTAATATTAAATGAGTAATAAATCGTAAAAAAATTAATGTATTTTAAATTAATGAATAAACTGTAAATAATATTGATGTTTTTAATGTATTTTAAAAACACCCAACTCTATTGGCTACAATAAAGATTTAAGTTTCGTTTGAGTCAGCTCTTTATTGTTTTGTAAAATAATTTTTTAGTAAAAAAAAAAAATTTGAATTAAAAATTTTTATACTTAAACTATTTTAAAAAGTATTAAGAAAGTCACCCCAGACTTTCTTAGCTCAAGAAAAATTTAATAAATTTTGTAATAAATTTTGTAAATTTAGAATCTGACAAAGAATGCCATAATAAATATTAAATCTTAATAAACTGTTTTAGAGATATTCATAATTTAGAATTAAAATGAATGTGCAGAAGAGAAGCAAAGAGGAGAAGTGATATAAATCACTTAAATTATAGATATCTTAGTATTTACCAAATCCATGATTTTGCATAAAATAGGAGTAAAATGGAATTTAGATAGATAGCAGAATTTATATGGCCACAAAAATTACCTGAAAAAAAGGCAAAATTTAACCTAAATTATGACAAAATCTTGGCTAAGGCTTGATTTGAGATGGTTTTCCTGATGCTCTTAAATTAGTTTTTTAATATAAAATTTATAACTTTGTATTAGAAAGTTGGTTTAAGAAGCAGTAAGATCATTTCCAACCAAATTGCATACCACCGTATATCGTCCGCCATTCGCTGCATTCGAACTCCAAATCTCACACCAAAATTCAATAAATGAACAATGTGACACCAATGTTGGCGTCGGACTCTTCACCTATACCAAAAAACCCTCGCTTGTGAATTTGCCGAAGAAGAGCGGGAAGGATGAGAAAAGCACGCGAAAGAGGAGAGAGGTTGTTTCCTTCACAGGAATCACGCGAAAGTGGAGATAAATGAAATTCGATTGAAAATGAATTACGTCATTTAGAAGTTTTACTGCATTTTAAAGTACAAAATGGGTTTTCCGATTGGAGATGCCCTAAGAAAGTCATATCAAACGAAGCCTAAATCTTGCAACCAAGACGATCCTACAATGAAAAAGTAGGTCCTATAATTTGGGTTCACTTATCACCTGAAACTAGATATGCAGTTGATTTCAGCAGGCAATAACCACATATATTAGCCTTATTCGCAACTTAAGGAGAGACTTCTCACCAAATATAGCTAGATAGTTGGCCATTACTAGTTAGTTGAAGCATCACATGGGAACATTAGCTATTTTTGAATGGGAACAAGAACAAGAACCATAAACTAAGAAAAGCTAAAAAGAAGTATTTAAATCATGACAATAAGGGAGGACCAGATATCCATATAATATCAGAGATAGGTGTTCCTTAAAGGGAATGATATATTGATAGAAATCTTAGAAAGAAAGCAAAGAACTCACATGGAAAAATAAACTGGGATATGGGAGAAGTTAGCACCTCATTGATCACTGCCCACGCCAAGAATGCATTGCACGAGACGCGACAGAAATGGCTCAGTTTGCGAGCCGCTGCTAAGAATAGGCCTGAGACTCTGAAGCTCGACATTGAAGTCGTTCTCAAATTTCCTGCAAAATTGCCGAGAAATAAAAGACCATAGAAAAAGGATAGTGAGCTTAAGTTTGTAAGCTCTTACATGATAGAATCAGAGAATATGGGATTCTCCTCTGCGGATTTTAGTGCCCGACTTCTACCGCTTGGTCTCCTTTCCTTTGATTTTCCTAATCTAAAAGTATAGGAATCTGCTGCATCAACCACATCAGGTATGTAGATGGATGGTACTAATAACTGTATGGAAGCAGCATATTGAAGGCATATTGACTTGAGTTTCTCCACTTTCTGCAAATGCAAAATCAAAGCACAAAACTAGAGCAATAAGTCGATTGACTACTACTGATCTTTACATATCAGAATAAGAAATCCAGTGCTTCAAATTACTCCATATTTCCATATGTTAATATAGTGTATTAAGTATATGTTAAGAACAAAAAAAAAAAAGTAAGGTTTCATTTGGTTATCCCTCAACTTTTTGTAAAAGATTGTTTTAAAAACGTTGGTGGAGCAAATGGAGTTCTCAAACGGAAAAACATATATCAAAAAACTTCTCAAAACAGTAAAAAAATAAAGTTATGCAAAAAGCATTTCCACATGAGCGGCATATTCAAACAGCGATAAATGCCGTTTCCAAATGGAGGAAATAAGCCACATCAAACGAGGCCTAAATGAAGATGACAAACTCAGATTTGCTAATACTGCATTCAGGTCCCACATCTATTGCAAATGCAAATATTGGCTAGAACAAATTATAATAGGAAACTGAAACTGACCACTAAAGAAAATTTTTTATGTGTGATATGTAGATTAACTTACTATACATGAAAGCTATCGCACCTTGACAAGCTGAGGCAAGAGAAGCAAACATTCCTTCAAGCATTTTTGCAGAAAGAAATCATGTAATTGGATCACCTGATGCATATTAAAGAATCTAAAGTATGAGGTAACAAGCTCACATTCATTTGCATAAATTTTAGCAAAAACAAGCAGAACTAATGAAGAACCTCATCAATGCTCTTCACAGTTTGAAGGCGGTCATGCATCAGATGCCAATTTGGTTCAAGAACCTGAAGAAAATGCACGCCAGAAAATAGCGTAGGGATACCAGGAAAACCATCAACTTGTGAAAGTTTCTAGGCTTACCTCGAATGTTAGATAATGTAGAAGGCTATTGATAAATTTAAGCATGCTGCGACAGAGATTAGAAGATCGTAAGATGGTCGTCCCAAGTATGTTACAAGAACGGAAACCCTGGAAAATATAATAGAGTCAATTGGATAGATCAAACAGAAAAAAATAAGAATAATAAATAAAAAAATCAAATGAGAAAAATGTAAGATCATACTTGATGTACTTGCCACGCCACACAAAGTTGACGTTCAACATGTTTACAGCGGAAAAGAAGCTGAAAAATCAACTGATACTTAGTCAGAGCTTTTCTCGATATGACTAGTGAGAGAGGCCACTGCACCTGCGATGCCACAAATTTGATAATCAGGAGTGTATATAAAAGGTTTCCAAAGAAGTAAATTCATATCCACAGAACCCTATATGTAAAATACCTTGTAACTCAGGGAGAATGTTTCTATGCCGTTGATGTTTACTAGCTCTGGCAGATCACCAATGTCTAAAGCAGTTTTACTAGGAGGAGCATGAAAAGAGCTCCCCAAATCTTTGAGTGTAGACAGTTTCCTGAGCAATGAGACTCTTTCCTGCACAGCAGAAGACATGAACACCAAAAAAAAGGGTAATGGAGCTTGATGCAATTTTCAGCAATGTAACTTACCACACAACATGTCAACTCCTCATGACATGGGTCTGCAGCAGCAGCTGTCGAACGGAGAGCAAGATCGAGTAGTGACTGAATGTTACAAAGTACAAGCCAGACCTTAAAACCAATCAAAAACCAAAAGCTTCTAACAAAAATAAAATATTCTGGAGAATCACGTGCAAGTATATATTAAACCTGCAGTTTTTCAACAGATATGTCCTCAGGCCTCTTGACAAGTTCCTCCATAGCAATGTCCATAAAATGGACTAAGAAATCACCCTGAAGAACTATGGAGAACTCAAAATTCATCATGCTTCAAAATGGTATTTTTTCCAAAATTCAACTAGTAAAATCATTGCAAGTTATTCTAAAGAGAACAGATTATCATAGAAAATATTAGCAAATGATTTACCTGCACTATCAGAAATTCTGCCATGGTGCGTATTCATGAAAGAAATGCATGCAACATAACCTTAATGTATGCATATAAATGCAAACGCAATTGTAGAGCATAACAAGGGAACATGAAACCTGATTTTAGTATAAAAAAGACCATTCTCTTTGAGAAGCAAGGGACACGCGGAATAAATTTCTTGTTTAGCTTCCTCAGCCACAAAAATATAAGCCTTTAAAATAGAGCATAACAAATATTAAACCAGACAACAACAAATTGATTCGATAACGTAGATGGTAATCTTTTATTCTTTGTCAAAGTTTAAACTGATCAGAAACTCACATTTCTGGTCACAACAGTAAGGAAACAATAATTTTTATATACTTATATGAATGCTTGAAGAACCTCACCACCATTAAAGATATGTGGACAGTTACAAGTAGCTAACAAAAAATACAATTAAGCGTACCATCATACAACATCATTATCATCCTTATCTGAATTATCTAAGGTTGATTTTATGAATCTTTATTTCCAATCTTCCTTATTGAGTGTTGCACGAGTTGTTGATTTTATTCCATATAAATTTTTTTGCATAAATTTATCCATGTTGCTTTTACTCCACTTATTCTTCTGTCCTACTCCGATACTAACTTTATCTATGTGGTCTTAAGGGACCCTAACTTTCACTATGGGGTTTTATGAGTGTTAACATAGGATGCTTATGTTTCATGTAGTAGCATCGCAATTGAATTGTCATTTGTATTTTATTTAATAAACTCCTTTGCACTTAGATTATCATTTTCATCCAACTCAAAACCTGTACATGAAACATAAGCATAAGGATACCCAAGCCCGCGTCATAGTGATACCCAAGCCCTCTACTTCCTAGTTATAAATTTTGTATTACTTGACCCCTCTTTCTCTCATTCCAACCCCCTTTATTTCATAAAATGCTCCTCGCATTATTTAAATTATTCTTGAATTAAATTTAAGTGAATTTTAAATTTGCTTTTCACTGCTAAAAAAATGAATTCCCTAACTACCTAAATTCAACTTATCTCTAAAGCTAGTATAAATGATCCCACCCCTCGTCCTTTCTCTCCCTAATCATACTTCCTAATATACACCAAAAATAATCTCTATTTCTATTAGCCGACATTCCGCCCCACTCTTTCCTTTGAAAAAATTGAAATTCACATCCTTAGTCTAAAAACACTCTTTCTCATACAAAAGTTAAGAACACTCTCTTCAATCGTGAAAATCAAACCCTCTCATTCATCCCCTCAAACAAAAGACCTTAAACCTAACAATAAATTCAAAATAAAATATACTAATTAAACTTAAACCCTAATCCAAGTCATGAATCATAATTTGAATAAAAAACAAAAACAACATAAAAGTGTGTGGATCCACTCCTACACACTATGTCAACATCTACAACTAAACAAATTGTCACAATTCATACAATTTGATTCACGGCCTCCCAAATAAATCTCTCTTTTCCCAAAGATGATTAATTGTTTCAAGAGGCCTATGATTAGGTTTTTCTATAGATGTGCCATAAATGGTGAGGTTTATTCCTTTCGTCTCTTTCTCTATATGATAATGGCCCCTTCAACTCTCATCCCAAAGATGGATCACCCTTCATCTCTTCTTCTTTGGGATGCATTCTCAATGAAATGGATTTCATTATTTGGTGTTGTAACAGAAGACCTTCAAATTCTTTCTCCAACGTTCTTCAAACACTAAAAAATAGAGCATTTTGCACTCGAGTGGAATGATACATAACAAGCATGGACTTTGTCCCTTGTCCTAGCATTTTAGTTCAGTTATCATTACATTTCTTTTATTAGTTCATCTTTAGTTTTAATTTTAATTTTCATAGGAAATATAAGCAATTTCCAGTTTAAGATAACTTTGATTTTTTAATCTTACTTCTAGGAACTTCTATTATAAATAGAGGTCAAATGGTCATACCATAATTAGATTGTGATTATTAAAAAAATATGTTTTGCATGGCTTCTCCCTTCCCCTAGATTGCGTCTAGTTTCCTCTTATTCCTTCTTTCTCCTTCTTCCCTCTCTCTTCATTATTCTTCCTTAAACTCTTTAGCACTTCTACAATCCTTCCACACAAGTACTCTAGTGTATTTTCTATTCTCCAATACCTTATCTTCAATAGAGGATTATTCATACTCCCATTGTTCATCTAATATAATTGATCAAGTTGCCTTTAGTGTATTTTGGAGTTCCTCAAAACCATAGATTAATGAGAGCTCGCATACACCCATCTTTTCCAAAGGAACTTTATTTAAACATTTAATCTTAACTCTATAAGTTAAGATATCCTTCTTCTTTGATATGGTAGATATAATATATTTAAATCTATCACAACTAGATATTATTTTATTTTTTAGTAATATTGAGAGAGAATTTTTAATTTCACTATACAAAAAATTCATATCAATTAACTGCTCTTTAGTTTAATAATACTAAGTCATTTACCCTCTAAATATTCTTTCCATTATTCGACCTTTCAACTTAAATTCAGTATCATTCACATATTAAAATTATGTCGTATATTAAAAAACAAGGCATCTCACAATGAATATGTTTCTTAAACATTAGATATAAACAACCTAAAAAGATATTAACTTAAATGTTGATCTATGATACAGTCTTATTGTTTCACTCCACAACTACTTGCAATACTAGTCAAGGCTATCATACATATTTTTAACACTTGAACATACCTTTGATATATTTTTTTAATCATAGACATGCTTAAGATCAATAAAAATCATATGAAGACCTCTTTTCTACTCTATATTTTTCATTGATTGTCTTACCTAAAAAATTCACTTGCACAATGGATTCTTCAAGCATGAAATCAAATTAATTTCTTAAACGGGTTAACTTTTCTAAGTGTATATTTCATTCATTTCTCCCATAACTTTATTACATAAATCATAAATTTGATTACTATGTCAAGGTAAACTTCAAAATAGTCCCCTAATTATTTGAATATGGCCAATTTTGTCCCAGGGTATCACGATACTCCAATTTTGTCCCTCTAAATTCATCCAGAATGATCGGACTAAATTGAGATTAATTTTGTATAGTCAAGTGACTAAATGGGATCAATTTTATATCACAATGCATGATGGATCATTTTTTGTAGTTGATAGATTAAATTGAAGCTACTTAATACTTTGAGACTGAATTAGCCACACACAAATAGTCTAGGGATTATTTCAGGATTTTCTGTTACTATTATTGCTACAAGTTCGAACATTTCATCTATTCTTAAATATGGCAACCAAGAAGCTTTTTTTTTTCAATTATCCGGAATCCTCTTAATCCTAAAATTAAATTAAAAATATTTGTTAACCAAATCGCTCTAATATCACTCATAACTCCGTCGTCTCAATAAATATCTCATATGAACCAATAGTTTTAACGTTACGCATCATGTTTGGAACTAACTTCACCATAATTTTTTTATCAATCTTTAATATTCATTATTATATTATTCATCACACTCTTCTAAAATTACTTTTTCCCTAAAATTTTTATTGAATAATTTCTCAAGGAAGCATTTTCAGATTTCATTAATGTCTCCATTTTTAAGTAAAATCTTACAATCCTTACTTTTAATTCATTAATCTTATCAAAATTTGTAGATTGCTTATCTCTTATTTTTTATATTGTATATCCTTCTCCGCTTCCCGGATATAACATATCTTAATCATAAAAAAATAAAATAAAATTCTTTGTTCACTACTATTTTGCAAGACTTGCAATTGTCATATAAAAATGCAAGTAATTATAAGTGTATGATTCCTATGCTAAATTAGCCAAAAGAATGTCAGTACAATAAACACCACATTGAAGTCAAGTGTTTCAAACAAGGAAATACCAGCAATTATTTAAAAGAAAAGAAAGGATTGGATTACCTGGTCCAGAAGAAAATATCTCTTCATAGATCGCAATTTTCCAATCAGGCCATACTGGAAATGAAAAGGGAAATTGTACTAAGCTACTAATACAGAGCAATATGACCTGAAAAGTTTCAGAACACTAAATAATTATGATATTAAAGTGCTGAGCTACTGCACCTTTTCCTTGACAAGATTTAACAGTTCACAACTTGCGAAATCATAAGCAATCTTGACACATTCTAGATAATGATGGTCTGACCCAAAGCTTGTCAGTTTTGAATTTTCTGATGGGGGGACCTAATCAAAATGCAATATGTTGGTTGCAAGCAAACTAAAAAAAAAGTGTCCTAATTGACTGATTCAACATCATAATAAGTTTATATTACACCTGCACATTGTGTCCACACTCTCTCATGACATTTAAATATTTCCCCGTAGTCAAAATCATGCCAGCAGCACTTCTAAGGAAGCTAGGAGTATCATCTTTGAGACTGTAGCGCTGTTGCCAGTACTTGGCATCATAATCTATTGTAAGACTCTCCTGTTCAAAAAAAATTTGAGATTATTGATCGGAAAACAATACATGAGATTTCCGAGACATGATCACGTATGAAGTACCTTTTGCAGGGATTTGTTTTCAGCAATGAAAAATTCACCGTGTGGATCATCAATAATCCCCTCATAGACCCACCTATAAACATAAATATTAGGAACGAGATTGTTGGAGATTCTCTTGGCCTTTTTAAGCCAATAAAATGTTCGTAATCTAATAGAACACCCAAACATTCCCTGAATAAAAGTAGCAGGCAAGACAAGCCTATAAACAATCCTACAAAACAGGATCTCTACAATTAAGTTATGAAATGCAATCCCAAAATAAGAGATACCTTTCTAATATCGACAAATATGGAGAACTTGCACTCTGTGTCATCTTCTCAAGCAATGCACGGACTGTAGTATCACCTGCCATGGCCTTAGCCTGCCCTAGTTTAAATATGTTGAATAGTTTAATTCCTTGAAGGATAACTAAGCAACAAATATGCGATTTAAATATCATAAACGATGATAAACAAATGCACAAAGGACAATCTAGTGGATATAATGCTCACAATAAAAAACACACTGTATAGTCTCCAACACATGACAAGTAGTCAAATGCAAATTTAAAAAAAAAAAAAAATCGGAGCAATGCAAAATCTAAAAAGGGAAACTCAAGTAGGAATGACAAAAAAATTAACTGCAGCTGAAAAAACAGGTAGATGAAGCATATACCTGGCTTTGCAAGAGGTTGAGAGTAGCCGAACCAAACAAATTGCCTGAAGATGCTTTCTCAATTACAATGGATAAAGCATGCAGTGCTGCCATCATTGGCTGAATTTTGGGCATTAAATATTAAAAGTTTACAACTACATAGGACAAGCTGCATTTGCGAAAAGTTCTACAAGAAATGCATTTACCTGACAAAAAAACCACAACCCTTGCACAGAAAGTCTTCCAAGGCGAAATTGATGTTCAAGCTGCGCTGCCATAGCTTGGTAATCCTAATGGAAGAAATGAATTCATGAGAATTAAGCCAAACACCAGCATCCAAAATGTATGTGATGTAGGACTATATGAACATGCGATGCGATTATCTTTAAAATTACTCGCTTATGAGTGAGAAATAGCAATTAGTAACTTCTTGCAACATAAACAAGAGATGGAAAACAATAAAGCAATGATTAGGTTTAAGTAGTCAATTACGGGCTAATGATAGGAACATAAAAACAATCAAATCAAATCTAACTTAGCTTTTTGTCGGGCTTTCAAAGGAAATCCCTTGATTAACAATTAGATTAGTCACTATTAAGATCCCTCACACAAACTCATAATAAGGATTAGGCGGAGAAGCTTTCATAACTCTAATGATGTCACGATCGAGGAGTTAGAAGAACAAAAGATTCGGAAGAGAGTTCACTTTTTCAAGCTTCTAAATTTAATGTAGAACTTCGTCGAACTTCTGAACTTTGATTTGACGAAGAACGTAGTCAAGCTTCTGAACTTGATGTAGAAATTCATCGAAATTCTTAACTTTGCTCCAATCCCCTTCAGGATCCGGGCAATGATCGTTTGTGAGTTCTCCTTGAAGCCAACAGTCCTTGTAGTTGTCAAAGGATAAAGGTGCTCGAGGGTTTTCCATGTGGATGGTCAAGGGAGGAGGTTTTATTTCATCTTCCTTAGGTGAAATATCAGGCATAGGAGAAGAAGTAGAGAGAGGGTGGTGGGGCTAAGTGGCCGGCCCAAAGAAGAGGGAAGGAGGATGGAGTAATTTCGGATTTAGAGGTCAAATTAATGTAGGGGAAGCAATTAGAGGAAGCCTGAATTAATTCTCTTGCCTAAGTAGTATGCAATTTAAATCAAGAATCAATTCTGATGGATTGAGATTTAATGGCAGCATTAATTTGGGAGATTAATTGGAGAAATTTGAATTTGAATCTCCAAAATAAAGAGGGAAAGGGGGGGGGGCACCTTGATGGTTGGTGTGATTGGAAACCCAAGTTGGAAAGGGAATAATGGAGGAGAAAAAAGGTGGGGCCGGCGGCTAGGCTTAGGGGAAAGGATTTAATGGGAGGATTCATGGATTGCTAGATTTGGAACTTTCAAATAGGAAAGAATATTTAAATAAACTCCTATTTAAAATTCAAATAAAGCATGAATTGAGGGATTTCCTAAAATAACTTTCCCTATTTTAGGAAATAACTTTCAAATTCAAATTCATTTGAATCTAAATTTAAAAGGGAGTTAATTTAGGAAAGTGCTTGAATGCTAAGTTTGAAAGTTTGAATGCAAAGGAGGGAAAAAGATGGTCTGCGGCTTGGATAGGTGGTGGGGTCGGTGGTTGGGTGGAGGAAGGGGTCGGCCAAGGTTTGGGGAAAGGGGTGGTCGGCGGCTAGGGGAAGGTGATTGGCCGAGTGGTGGAATAGGGTTGGGGTGGCTTTCGGCCAAGAGAGAAAGAAGAAGGTAGGGGCGACGGCAAGGAGAAAGAGGAAAGGAAAATTGGCGGAGGAGATGGACCACGAGCCCGGACGTTTCCTGCGTCTGATGGGTAATACGTTGGCCTCACCTAGGGACTTTAACTCTCACAAGAACTCTCAAGCTCTCAAACACAAAGTGCAGAATTTTCTTTTCATAATAATCATCATCTCTCAAAAAGAAGAGAAGGGGACTATAAATAGCCAAAATACAATAACAAATCAAATGACAAAAGTGCCCCCTGGGATCACATAAACCTACTCCCTCAAGTGAGGGTAAAAACGAAAAAGATGCATATATAAGTCAAATACAAATAATATCTCAAAATTAAAGTGGTCCAATCATGCACGTAGTAGATCTTTGGCTCCTTTTCTGATAAACTTTCAACAGTCGGATATCATCATCATTATGTCTCATGTTCAAATGAAGGGGAGGATAGAATTCTTTTCTCTATATTTCATACTGCAAATGTCTGAGCTCAATTAATAGAGGGCCTGTTTGGATTTACGGAAGTGAAGAAGCCTCATTCCAGTGCGAGAAGTCCGTATTGGAGAGATCATCTTTGAGTAGGCTGGTAGTTTATTTCCTATTTAAGCCAATAGGTATTTACTCCACTTCTGACTGACATTAAATAAGAACTGGAAACTAAATTAAAGGCCAAAAACATGATATATACCATTAGACAAGCCAATGAGGCTTCCCTACTTCCACAACCACAACCCTTTGCACAACCTCCACCATTAGGCAACCATTTATGCCCACCTAACAAGTTCTAATGTTTATCCCTCTTAAAACAGAGGAGAGGATGACAAGATATGACATGCATAAGCTCATCTCCCATCTAAACCTATGAAATGCAACTAGGTTTCAAACTAGCTCTATCTAGATTAATAGAGATCAAAATGCCCAAGAAAAAATACTAGTTGTAATGCAAATTACACTTAAATATGAAATTATTAACATTAGTAGTAAGATTTTGTTTGAGTTTTAATAGATTCCTATTGGGATGGATTTTAATCGCCTCATCAAGGACAGCATAGAAAAACATGACATTGGTGCAGATAACATAATATTCAAGCTCATGTTGGTATTTACTAATGGTTCATGTCTGCATCATTGGTTGACATTGCACATTATCTACCATGTCTTGAATAACTACTACTTCCCCCCGCTATCTCCCTAATCTGGATCTAAAACTATTCGGTGGAAGCAAACTAAATCATACTTGAGAGTTGAGACTACCAACAAAATCAAGGGATGCAATAATAGATGGATTGAATTTGGGATGTTCAATCCCTATAATTTCTAAAATGAGCTCAGCTGACCTGAGCCAGGTGGGCATACAAAAGTTTCAAAAGAAGAAAATTTAAAAAAAAAATTAAAAAAAGCCCCACACTTGGCGAATGACCCCCGATTTATTGTCAGGTTAAGCGAATAACCCCCGATTTATTGTCAGGTTAATGTTATAGAATGAGCTTCATAAAACTCAAAAAACTGAGAGGTGAGTCAGGGAAATGTTATAATTAGTTGTGCTAGTCACAAACTCGTCTCACTTGATGCAACAATCTTAGACAAGTTCTATTGAAAAGAGGACAAAGATGAGTTTTTTTGCTAACTACTTCGAATGAGTAATATTAAATGATTAAGTGACAATTAAGGCAATCATGACCTCCACATTTCATTCGATGCCAAATTTCAAGGACTGAGTTCTATCTGAGAAGCAATATTATTTTTGGTGACCTATCGATCATTAGCTCAAAACAACCTTTAGATGGTTGACTTTTAATTTTAGCTTAGTTCATGTCAGTTCATTAATGTATGACACATTAACTTAATTTCTCTATAATTTGCGCACTCTTGTGCATCACTTTTATTCTTAAAAATAATAACCAACACATTCTTTCTCCACTCATCTGATATTTGGGTTCATTACTAATCAGTTCTATGGATCCGATTCAAGTCTACACTGTCACTGTGATTTGATCACCTGACTCAGGAAAATAGAAATGTACACAAGTTCTACATTTTTTTTTTTTGCTCTTTAAATAAAGCGAAAAAAAAAATAAGAGATTGAAATTATCAACAACCCATATCGCCCCGTGTCACATGATTCATGTTGTATAAAATCTAGTCAAGATTATTGGATTTCAAGATAAGTCAAGATGTTTACACATATTTTTGTAGAGTTCTTTAATAGCGGGCTTTACACATTACTCTTTAGCCTCTATTAGGTTGTATTTCACTTATCAACTTAAGCTCTATGGACTTTGCCATTATTAATTCAATTTCTCCTACAAAGGAAATTTTTATGGGATTGTCATGAAAGACATACTTAGACACTAGAGGAGAAAGTTCGGAGAAAAAACTAAAAGAGGAAATATCTTTTGGCTGTAGAAAGTCCAGCATTAGTGGATGAGCCTACTTTGAAGAAAATAAATATTGAACCTATGAATACAACCTTATAGAGAGCAAGAAGAAAATCTACAAAGGATCATTCTACTAGGAGGATTATTGATTTTCCTTAGTCATCAGTGGTCACACCACCTACTAATAAGGCTTTAACTTGCCTCCAACAAAGGAGATGGATAAGTTTGTTAGGAAACAAGTGCAGAAATCAAAGAGAGATTTGCTGAAATTTGGAATTTCAGAAAAGTTCAAGCAGAATTTGAGATAAATCCCATGGCAAAACACTAGGAAAACTTGATAATTGATGAAAAGTTGAAAAGAAATAAAATACAATAGATCTTCAATTCGAGAAGAAGATCTAGCTCTCCCAATCCCTAGCCGGCGGCTAGAGCGCAAGCAAACCTAAGAGAAATCCCAAATTCAGCAAAAACCAAGATCCCCTAAACCGAACCCTTCCCATCTATTTAAAGGATACAAATATAATTATAATTACTAAACAGTCCTTCCCAAATTTAATTCCCTCTTAAACCGCTCCCTCCGCTTTAATTTTGTATTCAAATAATGGGCCCCATAAGGGGGGCCGCCGGCTACTTGGTTCACCTGGAGTAAACCAGGGGACGGCCCTGGTGTTGGGCCGGTTGGACCGATCTAACAAAGTTCCAAACTCCTATATAGTCTCCGAGAATGCAAATGCAACATTCTTCTCTAAGCCATATTTTGAAACTCAATACTCACAGACAAGAACACCCATCTTTGAGTTTATCTCAAACGTTTCTTAAAATGCTAAGAAATCAATTTTTCATATTCCATCGATCATGGTCCCTTCTTTTAAGGTGAGTTCTCTGAAGGCAGCTGACTTGGTTAGCAAGTCCACTGATGACAAGTCCAAGCTTGATGAGTCATCGAGGCCAAGGATAAAGCATCGCTATTTAAGGCAAAGAAAGATTGCACAACTACCAATCCCAGAACAAGTGTTGTCGTTGAATTGGTGAAATAAACTTTTCATATAGTCCTACTGCAAGATAAGATGTGCAATGAAAACACTAGTTAACAAGCCCCTTTCATTGAAGAAATCTATCAAATATATTGTAAGGCGACTTCAAATTGTTAGCTTTGCATTGGG